GCTTTCGGGTGGTCCCTGACAACTCGGGAAACCAGGGATCATCGCCCTGGAAGCTTCTATTCTTACGTTAAATCTTAACATGTGTACGGGAACCAGATGTATATGAGCAGGACACTGCTCCCGGCCAGGATGGTCAAAAGACATGGTTTGGATTTGACAATATTTTATACCATACATTAATAGTATGAATTCTCACTGCCATATACTGCAGGCGGGAGGTGAAACCCATCCCTGTGTGCGGCTCGGGGTTGCTGCCGTGCCAGGGAAGGGAGGGAGGGAGGTGAAACCCATCCCTGAGTGCAGCTCGGGGTTGCTGCCGTGCCGAGGTGTGACCGTGTTCACGGGGGCTCTGGGGTTGGGGAAGAGACGAGGAGCTGACTCCATGTTTCAGAAGGCTTGATTCATTATTTCATGATATATATTACATTAAAAACTATACTAAAAGAATAGAAGAAAAGGTTTCATCAGAAGGCTGGCTAAGAATAGAACAGCAAAGAGTGATAACAAAGGTTTGTGGCTCGGGCTCTGTGTCCGAGCCAGCTGGGCTGTGATTGGCCATTAATTAGAAACATCCAAGATGGGCCAATCCCAGATGCACCTGTTGCATCCCACAGCAGCAGATAACCATTGCTTACATTTTGTTCCTGAGGCCTCTCAGCTTCTCAGGAGGAAAAATCCTGAGGAAAGGATTTTCCATAAAAGTTGTCTGGGACACCGAGGGAGGGGCGGGAGGTGCAATCCAGGAGGGATGTGGGAGGAAGGGGTTTGAAGCTTGGCAGAAAAGCAGCTAAGTAGCAAAGAGATCAACCAGCACCTGGCTCAACTGAATAACAAAGACAAGCCCGTGTCACTCCAAAATCAAAGGGGAAAAAATCCCAAAAAAACTACCAAACAACAAATCAAACCTGCAAAATAAAAACACTGCAACAGGGCGGGAGGTGAAACCCATCCCTGTGTGCGGCTCGGGGCTGCTGCCGTGCCAGGGAAGGCTGAAGGGAGGGAGGGAGGGAGGGAGGTGCGATCCGTCCCTTCCCAGCGGTGACTCAGGTGCCGCGATCCGCCCCGGGCGCGCATCGCGCACGGCGAGCGGCTCCAGCCGCGGGGCTCATAATGGGATTATTGTTCCCTTTGCGTGCAAAGCCTCGCTCGGGGTTGCTGTCCCCGCCCTGCCCTGCAAACCGCAGCCGCCTGCGCCTTCCCAGCCCCCGGCACGGCACGGGCCGCCCGGCCCCGCTCGTTCCTGGCATCCCCGAGAGCCGTTCCTGGGCCCTGAGTCACCGCCGGCTGCTGGGGAGCACCGCGAGCAGCTGGGGGGAGACAGGGGACATCCAGCCCCATAGGGACCATCCAGCCCCATAGGGACCATCACAGGGGACATCCAGCCCCATAGGGACCATCACAGGGGACATCCAGCCCCATAGGGACCATCCAGCCCCACAGGGACCATCACAGGGGACATCCAACCCTACAGGGACCATCACAGGGGACATCCAGCCCCATAGGGACCATCACAGGGGACATCCAGCCCTATAGGGACCATCACAGGGGACATCCAGCCCCACAGGGACCATCCAGCCCCACAGGGATTATCACAGGGGACATCCAGCCCCACAGGGACCATCACAGGGGACATCCAGCCCTATAGGGACCATCACAGGGGACATCCAGCCCTACAGGGACCATCACAGGGGACATCCAGCCCCATAGGGACCGCCACAGGGACCATCCAGCCCCACAGGGATCATCACAGGGGACATCCAGTCCCATGGGACCATCACAGGGGACATCCAGCCCTACAGGGACCATCCAGCCCCACAGGGATCATCCAGCCCCACGGGGGTCATCCAACCCTACAGGGACCATCACAGGGGACATCCAGCCCTATAGGGACCATCCAACCCTACAGGGATCATCACAGGGGACATCCAACCCTACAGGGACCATCCAACCCCACAGGGACCATCACAGGAATCATCCAGCCCTACAGGGATCATCCAGCCCCACAGGGGTCATCACAGGGGACATCCAGCCCTATAGGTGTCATCCAGCCCCACAGGGACCATCACAGGAATCATCCAGTCCAGCCTCTGCCCAGACACCCCAAGAATCCCACCCTGGACCTGGCAGGGAAAAGGGAAAAGGGGAAAGGGAAAAGGGAAAAGGGAGAAGGGAAAAGGGAGAAGGGAAAAGGGAGAAGGAAAAAGGGAAGGGCACTGCACACCCATGAATCCCTGGATGAACACAGGCCCTGCTCCCAGCTATCAGCAGCCTCCATCCTCCACTGGGCATCAATTCCAGCCCAGCTCATCCCTCCTGGCTCCAGAGGAGCTTCCCTGGGGATTCCTCCACCACCTCCCCAGCAGCCACCGATGGTGCCGGTCCCAGGCAGCCCCTCCATGGTTTGGCCTCTGAAACACAAAAAAAAAACCCAAACCCAGAATAAAAGCAGAAAAATGCACCCAGCCCTGCATTCCTGGGCTTTTCCACAGCCACGGAGCTTGGCCAAGCCCTGGGAGCAGCAGCTCCTGCACAGGCAGCAGCAGAGCCTCCAGTGCCAAGCACAGCCACCCCCGGGGCTGGGAGGAACTGGGGGATTTCCCATTCTTTCCCCATTCTTTTCCCATTCTCTGGTCACCCCGTTAATCGGCAGGGCTTGGAAAACCCCAAAACATCCAAAAAACAGCAGCAAAGGGGCCACAGATACAGGCTGGGGGTTGGGGTGGGAAAGGAGAAGAAAAAAGAAAATAGAAAATAGAGAAAAGAAAAAAGAAAGGAAAAGTAAAAGAGAGAAGAGAGAGGAAGAGAAGGGAAGGGAAGGGAAGGGAAGGGAAGGGAAGGGAAGGGAAGGGAAGGGAAGGGAAGGGAAGGGAAGGGAAGGGAAGGGAAGGGAAGGGAAGGGAAGGGAAGGGAAGGAAAGGAAAGGAAAGGAAAGGAAAGGAAAGGAAAGGAAAGGAAAGGAAAGGAAAGGAAAGGAAAGGAAAGGAAAGGAAAGGAAAGGAAAGGAAAGGAAAGGAAAGGAAAGGAAAGGAAAGGAAAGGAAAGGAAAGGAAAGGAAAGGAAAGGAAAGGAAAGGAAAGGAAAGGAAAGGAAAGGAAAGGAATTTATTTGGGGGGTTTGAAGTTTTAACTGGAGAGGGGTCACAGCTTAAGTTTCCCTCCAACCACTCCTAAAATTTATTCTGATTTTAAGACCAAACTCAGGAATCTAAAGGTATTACTGAAAAATCAGTGGGGGGAAGGAGAGATCCCCAGCTAGAATTTGATATTTTATGTGTGAGCAGCTCACAGGACATTTCCAACCCCTCCAAAGGCTGAATCTTCCCCTGGAAGGGGTGGAAAGGGGGGGATGAACCTTCCCTGTGCCCAGCAGGAGCTGTGATCCAGGGGTTCCTCCCCTTTTCCATAGCAGGGACACGGGCTGGGGGCCCAGGGCCATCCCCAGGATCCCAAATCCCCTCTCCAGCCATGGGGTCACTCCCCCAGAGCCCATCTCCACATCCCTGGCCTTGGCTGGGTGTTTCTATCCCCTCTGCTCCCAAATTCCCCTTTTCCACGGCCATTTCTTGTCCCCAGGGGTAATTTCAGTCCTGGCCCTGTGGCAGCTTCCCCTCACCCCAAGGAATGGGGAGAATCATTTCATTTTCCTCCAGAGGACAAGCAGAAAAATGGGATTTTCCTCTGGGATTTCTGCCTCCCTGCCTGCCTGCTCCTTCCCAGGGCTCCATCCCCACCTGGCCTGGCTGCATCCAGGCAGGATTAAATGCTTGATTTGGCATTATCTCCCAGAAATCTGATTACAAGGCTGCCTCCAACTCTCCAATGGGTTTTTTTTTTTTGTACCAGCTGGCACCACACGCCGGGAATTAAACCAGGAAACGTCCCTGACAGGCTGGAGATCCCCAAGCATGGACACCCAGAGGATTTGAAGGTTTTTAAGCTGGAAACCGAGAGCTCAGAGCTTTCCAGAGCCTCCAGTGTGGGTGGAATTAGGGAGAGCGCTGGGAATGGGGCACTGGGAGGGCTCTGGTTCCCAGCTGTGGCAGATCCCTTCCCTGGCATGCAGGGACAGCTCTCACCTTTCCAAAAGAGGGCCTGACCCCCCCTGTTTATCCTGCCAAAGGCTGAATTCCCAAATTTCCCCCGTGCCTGGAGGGACCCAGCTCAGCCCCGCCGTTCCAGGGATGCACAGCCAGGGTGAAACTGCCTCTCCTTGGCTTTTCCCTTCTTTTCTCAGCCCCAAGGAAGCTTTCCCAGCCAAGAGAGGACCTTGGAAAGCCAGGAGCAGCGAGGCTGGAGAGAGGAAACCCAGCAGAGTGCAGGGAGGAGGAGCAAATCCGTGGGTTTATGGCATGGGAACAGCCCCGTGCAAACTCCATTTCCCATTTATTGAAAGCAATCACAGTTAAAAGGTCAAATCCATCAGCAAACAGGAGCTTTGGATCATCCAGAGGGACACACAAAGGAAATCCATCAAAAAAAAAAAAACAAAAAACCAACAAGGACTGAACAAAATGGAGAGCTCAGTTTATTCCAGCCTGTTCCCTCTGGGGGGACCAAAGGTGGGTCTGGAACATCCCAGCCCCAGTTCCAGAGCAGCAGGAGGCAGCCAGGGGATGCAGGTGATGCCCAGGAGGGTTTGGGGAAGCAGGGACACGGGCTGGGGGCCCAGGGCCATCCCCAGGATCCCAAATCCCTCTCCAGCCGTGGGGTCACTCCCCCAGAGCCCATCTCCATGTCCCAGGCCATGGCTGGGTGTTTCTGTCCCCTCTGCTTGGCCCTTTTCAGGGAGTTCTGATTGCTGGAAGCAGCAGCTGAAAGCCAGAATCCCTTGGAAGCCCAGACAGCTCCGCATGGAATTGCAGGGAAAACACTCAAATCCTCCTTTCCTGGGGTCTCTCCCGTAGAAAACCCCAGAGCATTGGACACAGCACATTGGAGCAGTGCCCCTCTGAGACACATTCAGGAAAAAATGACATTTCCCTCTTGCAGAGATCCCATCTTTATTTGCCTGGACCATCTCCATGCATCCAAACCAATTCCCTGCAGTGCTCCTGAGGAGCAGCAGGATGTGGGAGACCTGTGATCCCACGGCTCATCACAGTCCCAATGCCTTCAACCTTCCCAAAAAAGGGTGCAATTCCACACTCCATAAGGAGATTGCTCCATTTCAAGACCCCAGACCAGCCTCCACATGGGGCAGGGAATTCCCAACCTCTGGCAGAACAGAGAGGATCAGAATCCCAAATGCCTTTCCCCGGAGAAACCAGCCCAGCATCATCCACCGCCCCTTCCAAGAGGAAAAGCAAACCAGGATCTGGGAGGAGCCACCCATGTTTGTGCTTGGAAACCATCGCCAGGAGCTCAGAGGGGAGGGGGAGATACAAAATCAGAGGAAATCAACACCAAACCAGATCCCAAAGTTCTATGTACAGATCCAGTCCCGGGCCAAGGCGTGCGCGGCTCCCGATCCCGCGGCGCGGGCTCTGCTGTGTCCTCTGGGAATGCAGCCCTGCCCTAGCCCAGCCCCACATCCAGGGACATCATCACCACAAAGCCCAGGATGGACGTCCAGGATGCCAATTTCCCGTTGCCACTGCAGGGAGAGGGGACGGGGGAGTGTTGGGGCAGGGAATGCTGCTCGTGTCCCATCCCAGCCCCCGTGATCCCAGCCCTCCTGCCCATGGGGAGGGAGCACAGCAACCCCATGGCTGCATCCTGAGCCCCCAGGATCCCAAACCCCATCCCCATGGGGTAACTTTCCCCTTTTCTCTCAGTTTGCCGCCTGGAGGATTCCCAGCCCTCCCATCCAGAGCCCATTTGCACTTCCCAGCCTTGGCTCTGCTCCCAAACTCCCATTTCCCACAGACCCTCCTTGTTCCCAGGGGTAACTGGGACCCCCCCATTCCCTGGCATGGGGAGGGAGCACAGCAACCCCATGGCTGCATCCTGACCCCCCCAGGATCCCAAACCCCATCCCCATGGGGTAACTTTCCCTTTTTCTCTCAGTTTGCTGCCTGGAGGATTCCCAGCCCTCCCATCCAGCCAAGGAGCAGAACCCATCTCTGTCACGGACACATTTTATGGAAAATCCTTTTGCTAGGATTTTTTTCTCCTGGGAAGCTGAGGCCTCAGGAACAAAATGTAACCAATGATTATCTGCTGCTGTGGAATGCAACAGGTGCATCTGGGATTGGGCTCATGTGGTTGTTTCTAATTAATGGCCAATCACAGCCCAGCTGGCTCGGACTCTGGTCAGTCACAAGATTTTATTATCATTCTTTTCCTTCTTTGCAAGCCTTCTGATGAAATCTTTTCTTCTATTCTTTTAGTATAGATTTAATATAGTTTTAATGTAATATATCTCATAAAATAATAAATCAGCCTTCAGAAACATGGAGTCAGATCCTCATCTCTTCCCTCATCCTGGGACCCCTGCAAACACCAGCACACATCTGTATTGTGCAGCCTTGGCTGGGTGTTTCCATCCCCTCTGCTCCCAAACTCCCATTTCCTACAGACCCTCCTTGTTCCCAGGGGTAACTGGGATCCCCCCATTCCCTGGCATGGGGAGGGAGCACAGCAACCCCACGGCTGCATCCTGAGCCCCCAGGATCCCAAACCCCATCTCCAACCATGGGATAACTTTCCCCTTTTCTCTCAGTTTGTGCCTGGAGGATTCCCAGCCCCTCCATCCAGAGCCCATCCCCACTCCGCAGCCTTGGCTGGGTGTTTCCATCCCTCTGCTCCCAACCTCCCCCTTCCCACGGACCCTCCCTGCTCCCAGGGGTAAGAGGGACCCTCCCACAGGTGAGGGTGGCCTCACCTGGTCTGTGCCTCGGGAATGATGTCGTCCATCACCACGTAGACCATGGCTCCAGCAGCGAATCCCAGCGCGTAGGGCAGCAGCGGCTCCGCCAGCACCACGGCCCAGGCGCCCAGGAGCCCGGCCAGGGGCTCCACCATCCCACTCAGCTGCCCATACCTGCCACAAAAACAGCCAGAACACACCTGGAGAGCTGGAGCAGGGCTGGCACAGCCACCCCAAAGGGATCAGGGGCTCACATCTCCCCATCCCTGCTGCTCCCGGTGCCCGGGAGGAGTCAGACACTGCCACACCTGGCCAAGGCACCTGGATCATGGCAACAGGAAAGGGTTGGACATAACAATTTTGACCATTTCCCAGCTGAGTTTTCCAGGCAGGATCTAATTCCTGCCCCCAGCAGCTCTGTGGGATTTGGGGATCCAGCTCCCAGGGCAGAGGGAACACTTCCAATCAGCACAACTCAGCCCCAAAGAGGACACCTGGCCCACTCCTCCAGGACACCACGTCCTGCCCACTCCTTTTCTTTCCCTCTAGGATTGTTCACACCTCTCTGGACCATGGGAAATCCTTTCTCAGCAGCAGCAATCCTGCTGCAAGTCCCAGCACTTAAGGAGGTGGGTGGGAGGAAAGGAAAACAAAACTTTGGAGCAGTTTGGGAGCCTCCCCCTCCCTCCCTCCATCCATCAGCAGAGCAGGGCAGGAGCAGGAACGCAGCTCCTGCTCCCAGGGTTTGTGCCCTTGGCTTTTGCACCTCAGGGAAAAGGGGGAAAATAGAGGTGGGGTTGAAATGCAGCCCGAAGGGAAAGAAAAATGAAGTGATGTAAAAATTAAATAGTAGTAATAGTAATAGTAATAATAATAATAATAATAATAATAATAAAGGCAGGGCAGGATCTGGAGCTCAGCACAGGCACTGGAATGGGATGTGGTGATGGTTGGGATCAGGGATTCAGGGCATGGGATTCAGGGATCATGGGATGTGGTGATTGCTGGGATCAGGGATGCATCCCTGGGATGTGATGGTTGATCAGGGATGCATCCCTGGGATGTGATGGTTGATCAGGGATGCATCCCTGGGATCCAGGGGCTGGGATCTGGGCTTGGAGGGTGTGGAAGGAGCGGGACAGGGCTGGGGAGCTGCAGCACCCCCAGCAGCAGAGGGAACACAGCGGATCCAGAACGGGGGTGGATGTGGGGTCAGAGGCAGGAGGGGCTGCTGCAGGCTCCTTTCCCTGCAGCACAGGCAGAGCTCACCAGAAAGCTTTCCAGGTGGAAAATCCAGCGCCACGCAGGGGCAGGCTGACAGCCAGGCCCTCTGGGAAGTTCTGGATCCCAATCCCAATGGCTAAGTTCCTAAAAAAAGCACAAATAGATCCATTTGTTTATGTCAGGGGGGCAAAGCTCAGCCTGGGATGGGCTGCTGGGATAAAGGGACGTGATCAAGGATTCAGTGGAAGAGCTCCCAGCCCCAGTGCCCAAATTTAACAGGATCCCAGCAAATTCCATCCCTCAAGAGCTGCAGAGCTTCCACCAGCTCCAGCACCAGCCCACGGAGCAGCAGGGAGCAGATGGAGGAGAGGAGATTTGTCCTAGGAGGGATTCCAGCCCAAGGATTCCTGGGAGCTGCAGCATTCCCAGTGCTGCACCTGGAGCAGCATTCCCAGGAAATGCAGCATTCCCAGGAGATGCAGCATTCCCAGTGCTGCACCTGGAGCAGCATTCCCAGGAAATGCAGCATTCCCAGGAGATGCAGCATTCCCAGGAGATGCAGCATTCCCAGTGCTGGACCTGGAGCAGCCCAGGTTTAAGGGGGCTCAGCTTCCTCCCTCCTGGGGGGCTTTGCCAGAGGGGCCCCAACAGCCACAGGGCTTTGCTTTCCCTCTTTTCTTGCTTTCCCTCTTTTCTTGCTTTCCCTCTTTTTTTGCTTTCCCTCTTTTCTTGCTTTCCCTCTTTATTTTGCTTTCCCTCTTTTCTTGCTTTCCCTCTTTTCTTGCTTCCCCTCTTTCCCCCCTCTTGCATCCCATGGAAAGGGAACACTTGGAACCTCCGGGGTCAAACTCAGCAGAGGGGAGCGCAGGGCTGTCCATCAGTCACGGAATCCCAAAGTCCTGGAATGCTTTGGGTGGGGAGGGATTTTCAATCCCGTCCCATTCCACCCCTTGCCATGGCAGGGACACCTCCCACTGTCCCAGGCTGCTCCCAGCCCTGCCCAGCCCGGCCTTGGGCACTGCCAGGGACCCAGGGGCAGCCCCAGCTGCTCTGGGAATTCCATCCCAGGGCCTCCCCACCCTGCCAGGGAAGGATTTTGTCCTCATAGGGAGGAATTCCCTCCCTGAGCAGCTCCCACTGGGTTTCTGCTGGAGCTGTGCGTGGCTGGGGTTGGGGATTTTGGGGGAACATTTCAGGCACCAAAGGGGGCATCCCAGGCTCCCCACACATCCCTGCTCCACCCCGGGAGCCTCTCCCCACCTTTGCTGGGCTCTGTTGGTGGCACTGGGGGACACCAAGAGTGGCACCGCCCTGGGGGCTCTGAGTGACCCCAGAGAGACCCCAGAGCCTCTCCCAGCTCAGTTCCTGCTCCCTTTTTACACCCCCTCGTTTCCTATGAGTAAAATAAGCCCGGTGAGAAAAAACCTCCCTGGGTTGTTTGAACTTCTCCCAGGGTTTACAGAAGAGGGGAGGGCCAGGGGGAGAGGCTCTGGGTTTCCCTGGGCAGGACAGGCCCTCACAATCACAAACATTATTCCAGGCAGAGAGAGGGAGGACGGAGGGGGAAAACCATCCCTGCAGGAAAACACTGGAGCCGCTGTCTGGGCTCTGGGGCTTTTTTTTTCCCCCTCCTTCCCTGGCTCAGCACAAAGCAGCTATTGCTGCTCCTGGCCACAACAAATTAGCAGGGAGGGAGCTGTGAATGGAGGGGTCTGTGTGGGAAGGGTGGGGAGCTCCCCCCCCATCCCGATCCCACCGGGAATTGGGACCCCCAGGCTGACCCCCGAGGGCGGGAGGAAGGGATGGAATGGGGGGAGATCCAGGAGAAACCATCAGGGGTTTGGCCCTGCTCTCCTTCCCACACACCCGCCAGGACAATCCGTGTGGGCACCCCAAAACCAGGAACAACACCAGGACAATCCATGTGGGCTCCCCAAAACCAGGAACAACACCAGGACAATCCGTGTGGGCTCCCCAAAACCAGGAACAACCCCAGGACAATCCGTGTGGGCTCCCCAAAACCAGGAACAACCCCAGGACAATCCATGTGGGCTCCTCAAAACCAGGAACATCACCAGGACAATCCGTGTGGGCTCCTCAAAACCAAGAACATCACCAGGACAATCCATGTGGGCTCCCCAAAACCGGGAACAACACCAGGACAATCCGTGTGGGCTCCCCAAAACCAGGAACAACACCAGGACAACCCATCTGGGCTCCCCAAAACCAAGAACTCCCCAAAACCAAGAACCAGCCCCAGGACAATCCATGTGGGCTCCTCAAAACCAGGAACAATACCAGGACAATCCATATGGGTTTCCCAAAAGCAGGAATAACCCCAGGACAATCCATGTGGGTTTCCCAAAACCATTCCCAGCCCTACAGCTGGGGCTGCCATGAATGCCAAGCCCAGGGCAGGATTTTATCCCTTTTCCCAGGACATGTGGGTGTTCCCGTGCTGTTCCCATGCTGTTCCCATGCTGTTCCTGTGCTGCTCCCGTGCCGTTCCCATGGTGTTCCCATGGTGTTCCCATGGTGTTCCCATGCTGTTCCCGTGCTGTTCCCGTGGTGCAGCCCCCGTGAGGGACACACACAGAGCAGAGGCCACCAGGGACAGTGCGAGGCCACCTCTGGCCCTGCTCGTGGCGCTCCTTGGGGCAGGAGGGACCTGCTGGGCTCAGCACCACACTGGGAATGTCCCCTGACATCTCCTGGCCCCCATTTCCTCCCTGTTCCCACAGGATCTGCTCAGCAGCCCCCATTCCCCAGGGACCACACATTCCCTGCCACCAGGGACACCCCAGGGAATGGGAATCCTCCCTGCCAAGGGAACACCTGAACATTCCTAATGCCTTCCTCAGGCCACTGCCCCAACGGGGCCACCCCTGTTCTGGCCAGGAGAAAGAAAAGGGAGGATTCACCTCCAGTGCTCCAAATAAATCCATCCCAAGGGATATTCCACCCCAAGGGATATTCCACCCCAAGGGATATTCCACCCCAAGAGATACTCCGTCCCAAGGGATATCCTGTCCCAAGGGACACTCAATCCCAAAGGATACTCACACCCCAAAGGATAGCCCATTCCAAGAGATGCTCCTATCCCAAGGGATATCCTGTCCCAAGGGAGCCCCCATCCCAAGAGATAGTCCCATCCCAAAGGATATCACATCTCAAGGGATGTCCCATCCCCAGGGATTTCCTGTCCCAAAGGACATCCCATCCCAAGAGATATTCTGTCCCAAGGGAACTCCATCCCAAGGGATAGCCCATTCAAAGGGATGCCCTGTCCCAAAGGACACCCCCATCCCAAAAGGATACTCCATCCCAAGGGACACTCATGTCCTAAAGGATGGCCCCATCCCAAGGGATACTGCATCCCAAATGCTGTTTCCATCCCAAAGGACAGCACATCCAAAGGGATAGTCCTGTCCAAAGGGCCATCCCGTCCCAAGGGATACTCCATCCCAAAGGATATCCGAAAGGACATCCCCATCCCAAGGGATACTCCCAGCCAAAGGGATAGCCCATCCCAAGGGACACACCAGCCCAAGGGCTACTCCATCCCAAGGGATATCCCAAAAGGCTATCCCATCCCAAGGGATATTCCCATCCTGAGGAATACTCCATTCCAATGAATGTTCCCATCCCAAGGGACACTCCATCCCATCCCAGGGCCGTGCCTCAGCTCACACCTTCCCCCGCAGCAGCAGCAGCCCCGGGGCGGGCAGGAGCAATCAAAGCCCCATTGTGTCATTGTGTCTGTCATTGTGCCATTGTGTCCAGGGGAACAAAGGCGCCTTTTGACGGGAATAGGTGCGGATCCTTGGAAGGCTTCCCCCGGCCGCTGCAGCGGGGAATACATTGTTAAAAACACAGCACGGAGACACAGCCCGGGGACACGGCGGGGACACGGCCATGAGCCACCAAAACCCGCGGGGTGAAGGGTTTGGGGTCTCCAAAGAGAGGAGAAGAAAGGTGGGGTACAGGGTACAAAGGGGGGGGACTCAGCTCCCGTCTGGTCGGATTTTTGCCACCCCTGGAGGTGCCCAAGGATGCGGCACTCGGTGCTCTGGGCTGGTGACAAGGTGGGGATCAGGCACAGGCTGGGCTGAGTGACCTTGGAGAGCTTTTCCAGCCTCGGTGATCCTGGGATTCTGGGGATGGGGCGGGACAAGCTGCAGCTCATCCCCAGCCTAAGCACATCCAGGGAAAATCACACCCGACTCTGCCTGGGGATGTCACCAGCACAGAAATGGCACCTGGGCGACCCCTCCAGTGGGCACAACAGCCTCGGTGTCCTTGGAAGCATCAAGGACCCAACACACACTGGATGCGTTGCCCTTCCCAGCTCTGCCTCCACCTCCCTGTCTGTAAAACCGGGGTGGTGACAGCCACGGGGCAGCCACGTCCCCCAGAACTGCCCCAAACCAGGCACAGAACCCCCGGCACCCACAGGTGAGCTCTGCCCTGCCCTTGGCTCACCCTGCCATGCAGCAGAGCCCAGGTTTTGGGAAGAAAAGGTGAATCCATGCCCTGCTGCTGGGGTTCCCCATGGAACATCCCAGGCTGGAGCTCCTACCCCCCTCTGCTGCCAACTGCTCCGGCACCACGCTGAGAAACTCCAAGTTCACTTGCAAAAAAAAAAAAAAGTTGGCATCTCTGCATATTTGCAAGGTCAAGGCACAGAAAGCCTTCTATAAGCCTAAAGCCTTGTTTTCAAGGGCCTATTCTTTGAGGGAGTGATTATGAAAGCAGGCTACATATTCTTAACAAGCCCCTTTTCACTCGGGCTTTCAGTTCCCCGCAGTGGAGAATGTGCATGTGTATTCTTGCATGGCAGCCCTTCCATACTGTTGGGATTGTTATCGGGCCCTGAAAGGCCCGATTGTTTGTGGCTGCTGCGATTACATCACGGCTGCCCCCGGGCCGCCCGCCGAGGTGTTTGATCAGGGCTGCAGGTGGGAAGGAGCTCACGGGGCCCTTTCCCCAGACCTGCCCTACCTGTTGGACCCTGTTCCAAACAGCTGCTGCCCTGTTAAACCCTGCTCTGCAGAGCTGCTCCTCTGTTAAACCCTGTTCCACACAGCTGCTCCTTCCTTCTGCTCCCCTGTTAAACCCTGTTCCACACAGCTGTTCCTCAGTTA